CCAATTTGTCAGAAGTATTTGTCCTGAAAATTGCATATTTGCAATTTTACTAACTAAATATATCCTTATTATTTAAAAAACTTTTGTGAAACATTTCACAATGTTTGTGTGCACAATACTGAACATGTTTTTGTGAACAAACAATATCTTGCTTGAATATAAATATGACAAAAAAATCAAACAATAAAGTAATTTGAATTTTTAAAGATTTTGCTCGTTGCACTTCAGATTTCTCTCACGTTTAAATGTAGAAGCTCATCTTACTTTGTTTTGTACAGTATTCTACAGCTTTTATCCCGGCACGACCAAACTATTACTAAATAATTTGGTTATTTATAGTAGCAGATAGCAATAATAACATTTGAGTACAGATCTTGTAGAATAATTTAAAATCCAGTTAGTCACAATTTAAAAATATAACAGACACATTTTAAAAATCTATTTGTGCAAGTTTTAATTGCTTATTGCTCAAATAAATGTAAATTGCTCTATGACATTATTTTGGAACCAGCAAAAAAACATAAAAAACGTATATAACATATAACGGACATAGCATATAATAATAATGATGATATATAAACAGAAAATAGAGAGTGTCTGTTAGTTGTGAAGACTTTAGTTTTGGTATCTTAAATTGTGCCAACTCATACAATCTTGTTTTCGGTCAATCTATGACACGCGCTCTTCCATAAAATTCAATATTTTAACCAAAGCACATTATTGAAAAATTATATTCTCGTTTTAGGATATAGTTGGTGTTAACATCTTTTTGCACATTGTTTTGGAGATTTAAACAAGATGTTATTATCAACCCAATACATTTTATTTTTAGTCAGTCTATCGGCAGCCTTGCTTACAACTTTACTGGAAGCCATGCTGTCATTATCTTGGTGCAGAGTAACAGTTGTCACTGACAGGCAAAAATTGTTCTTGTAAGCTTTGCTCTTTCTGCGACCACGGACTCTTTCAAGCTTTCTTTTTTTTCAAAGGATGTGGTTCCGATTTATTTTCATTGTTTTTCCACATTAATGAAATATTTATGAACTATAGTGAACTCATCACCATAAACCTTTTAAAGTTTTAATTTTGTCAAACATAGACGTAAGTCAATAATGTAAATATTGAAAAGAAGTGGTTCAAGAATGGAAGTACTCGGTTACTTGTGTACAAATGAGTGACTTGCGTGAAGTTATTTCATTTACAAAGCTTACGTATTAGAATTTATTACATTCAAACCACTCCGGTCTAAATGAGGTGAACTTTTCAAAAACATAAAAAGTAATGAAAATTGTATTTTATAGTTTTACATTCAAACCACTCCGGTCTAAATGAGGTGAACTTTTCAAAAACATAAAAAGTAATGAAAATTGTATTTTATAGTTTTAAAATGATTTCGAATAAACTGAATTATACAACATGATTATTGTGTATGATCAATTTTGTCAAAAACCCCAAAAATGGTAACAAACGATGTCAATCCCATTACATCCGATATGTAATGGGTTAGCTGTGAAACAACATTACTGTTATTAAATAATAAGTAAGCCGACTTTAAATGGAATGATATAATTGGACGTTGTCAGACTTGAGATTTCACATGGCACCAAAATGCTTGAACGAAAGATTCTGAACGACAGTATTATTATTATATTAGATGGTTTATATAGCGCCCATTAAAAGATTCTCACAGGCGCTCTCTACGTATTTCGAACCTATCGCTGAAAAATGAATGTCTTCAACTGTCTTTTGAAATGAGAAAACGACAAATTGCGATCACGCAAAGTTAGCGGAAGATCATTCCACACCTTTACTCCAGAAAACCACAAAATTTCGTTACCCTAATTTCAGTGCTGTCATTGGCTGCATAAATAAATCACAATCATCTGACCAATAGTGTATTTGTACAGAAACCTATTAGACAAATATTGCGGTGCCAACCCATTCAAGCTTTTATACATCAAAACACATATTTTAGACATTTTCTTTCATGAACAAGCAGTCAATGCAAATCCCCGAAGTGCCGGGCTCATGTGATCAAGCCTTTGCCCACCAACAATGATTCTAGCAGCCCTATTCTGAACCGTTTGGAGCATAGCAATTTTACGCCTAGCAATTCTTTTGAGTAAACCGTTACAATAGTCCAACCTTGAATGTATAAATGAATGAAGACGGGAACGTCGTTACGATAGACCTTATATCTTTTTCCGTCATTTGTAAAAATTCATAAAATTTTATTTCAACATTGGGTCTGATCGCTATAATAGGATCACCCATTTTACGAATTTTATTTTTTATTTCTTTAATTTTATTAGTAAAATATTCAACAAATATATTAGCCGTATGATTAGTAATCACCCCAATCAGTACCATTTGATTCCCTGAAAAATATTTCATTTAAAACACGCCATAATTTTTTTGGTCTATTATTATCATTCTCCTCCACCAACCCTTTCCAAAACGATTGTTTTTACTCAGAAAAGACCTTGTTTTTTATTTTGATCAACTCAATCCATTGCGCTCTATCCTCTATTTTATTAGATTTTCTGTATTTTTTTCCAACTTTCTACACTCACGTTTCATTTTACGACATCATACCATACATCATACCACGGAGCGTTCGTTACTAGTTTTGTTTCAACAATATGAACACTGAACCGGCTTCACAATATTGGCGATTCTTACAAGTTCATCATTGAAACACTGAGCTGCCTTATTTGCATCAATGAAATTGCACGGTTTGCTTATAAAAGAATCACAACTTAATTAATTTTTAATTTTTTAATTGTTAATTTTTGTTTATCAACACAATTCCACGAGTGCACTGTTTTTTTGATTTTTCTAGCAAGCGGACGAAATATCGGTAAGCAGACAGATATTAAACTGTGGTCAAAATATACGCCACAAGGATAAATTGTAGTATCACAAATCTTAGTATTACGCCCAGAAAAAATTAAAATGGAGAAAAAATGATTAAACACGTGGTTACTTTTTTATTCAACGACTTGCTCTTTATCCATGCAATAAAATAAGCTTATTCAGTCTGTTGAGAGGATTTTATTTTTTTCCGCTTTTTGTTCTCATGTTAATAATATCATGTCCTTCTTTATGATCAAAAAGATTGTTGGTCGTGAATAATAATTTTCGCGTTACATCCTGAAAAAATTCACTAAAAAATTTTTCCAACTCCGTCTTTAAAAAAAAATATCATTTCATAGTTGAAAAAAATTTAAATTAAAATTTATTAGAACTTGGATTTAAATGTACAATTTAGTTTAATCAAAATCATTCTAAAACTACAAAACGCATGAGACTGGAAATTATTAAATGAATTTGTTGGCAGTTGAAAACACAAAAATATCATCAATTCACCACACTGCTGATCACCAGCAAATAATGCATTCAACAGCTGACATCAATTAACGAATTTTGTTTTGTAAACCATGCAGGCTACTGTATCGGTAGGACGGCCCTGCAGAGTATCTGTGGCCAGATTGAAGTGGATCGAACTTCAGCAGTGCACAACCTCGTCAGGAGTTAGTGACTCATCCACATCACATAACTTTCACTCCTACCCCACCGCAACAATACATACATGCATATGAAACCTTCAGTCATGTGGTCACATTAAACACGCAATCTTCACCAATAATTTATGCATATAACTTTATCATATTATATCATATAAATAATATCATCACACCACTATTATTTCATTGTATCATTTTCGATATTATCAGGGGATATGATAATGTTGAATCATTACATCCTGTTGCATCAGGTTTATTTGCAACATCGTACCATTCTTGTTCATTAGTAGCATTTTTATTTCAAATTTCAGTTCAGTTATTTTCATTTGCAAACAAATTTTCATCATTAAAATTCACATACTCATAAAAAATTTAAATTCGATGAATCAAGCCACTTCAAATGAAACAATTCCAATTTTTAACTTGTTCTTAAATTTGACGAATTTTTTTGATTCACTCAACAAGTTGAATAGTGTCAACATAACAATGTTGAACTTTTGGAAATAATCCTCCTTCTAAATCCTCATAGGAACATTTCATGAGCAAGCTCCAACACTTATGCTACCAACAACAAAATTTACATAAATTTAATATATAAAAAAAAAATAGAGCTAATGTATGTAACTTATTGGTGGAATGAGCATTTCGTTCCTAGTTTAGCAAGCAACATCATTTCTTACTCTGCATAGATTTTACAGAAATTTTTTTTTTAATAAAATTATTTTTATGCAGAATTTGGAAATTGAGAGCTTTTAAAAATTACTTTTAAGTTTCTTTACAAATAACCATTTTAAAAATTTGAGACTGCTTTAACCAGGATGTAGTCAGATTCGGGTATTTTTGACGGAGTCAGAACTTTTGACAGGGTGAAGTCGGAATCGAATATTTTTCATCTGATTCCAAAATCGGAAAATTTTATGAATTTAAAAAATTTATATTCTGAAATTTTTTTAACATTGTGTTTTTTAGAAGATAAACAAATATGTGTATCGATATATAAAAAATAGGTGCTTATAATGCAAATAAAATCACAATTTTTTTTCGGTATGTTCAAATAAAAAATAATTTCACTAAGAAAAACATTTACATTGATTGGTTTTTATTTCGTTAAAAGTTTTTTTATTTAGCAGTGATAACAAGGTAAAGTTAGGATGTGAATGTTAAAAAATTTTTGGAGTCGGAACCCGGAGTATGAAATCGGTAATTTTTATCCGAAGTCGGAATTTTTTGAGAAAACGGAGTTGATATTTTTTATCTGTTTTTTACAGTGTAATTTACAAATAGATGAAAGCGTTTTTTTAAATGTCACTTTCTGATGAGTTGTATATAGTTTGTTGGCAACGATGACAACCGATTTTATTGGCTCAGTACTTTAGTTACATTAGTTAAGGTCACCAATAATATAGCATTCCTTTTCCTGTCTTTTACATAGTTTTTGATGGAAAATAAACTTGTATATAAAAAAAAATAAAAATGTATGCAAATTTGGTTTTTGGACATCACCCTAAATTACTAAAGTATGAAATTACCAAAGTAAGAAGTTTGATTGAGTACTAGATGTCTGCAGGCGTAATAAAGCAAAATACTTTTTAAAGTTGAAATGTTAAGTAAATAAGACGCAAAAAATTAATAATAATAAAAATTGAATTTTTCTATTTGTTACGATGCTTTAAATATGATTTTATGAATTGACATTTCAAATAAAGTCAAATCTTGAACGCGCTATCAAAATTTTCAATCTTTTTAATTAACCTGGTAAAATTTTGTTTAATAAGAAATAGATTTGATGGTAACATAACGTTCTTATAAAATTAACTTTGTCATCATGAAAACTTTTGAGAATATCATCAAATTGTTAGTTGACGTTAATTAGTATAATATTATATAAGATATCCACTACCCAGTTTATCGGGCAAATAGATGAGAAAAAAAATTATCAAAATTTTTTTTAATTTATTTCCAACAAACATCATGCACAGACTTACTGTGTTAGGACATGTTCGGCCTGCTAAAATCTGTTTACTCAGCGCTAGAGATACTTCCTTGCCGCTACTCATCGCACAGTTTGAATTATTTGATTTATATTTTTCGGTATACAAACAAACATCCAGGAATTAGATGATCTCAACGGAGCTAGATTGATAACTCACTGAATTGACAGAATGAAATGAACTCAAGATTAACAAACAGTACAATATAATACTTACGTGAGATGTGCGTGTTTGGGGAAAAACAGAAAGAAGTAAATATTCCCAATTGAGATTGAATGGGCGAATGGATAGTGCTGATAAGTATTGCAATAATCACTCACGCATAAAATATGCATTGATGACGTCCCGAGGTCGCACATGGATGATTACTATCGACGTCTTGTCCTCTCTCACTTTCCAGTGATCTCTCTCCCTCTCTCTCTCTCTTTTCAATGACATCTTTTTCTGTACCGTTCGTAAGCTATTTTAATGCCTGGTCATATAATATGTTTAATGAAAAAAATTAGTTAGATGGCAAATAAAATTTGTAAATTTGAGAAATAGATAAAAAAACTAATGTTTGTGCACATTTGCGTAACTCAAAAAAGTTAGAAACAAACATCAACTGATATTGTTCCAACTTAAAGACATTATTCATCCCATTCAGCAAGCAGAATATAAAAATACAAATCAGTTAACAACTGCCAACAACTCAGTGAACTCCGAGCCAACAGAGTGTCCACTGACGCGAGCGTACCACGTGATCTACTCCAACGTGAGCAGGGATTCCTGCAGGAGTCCAACCTCCTACAGCCACGTCTGCTCCTCTGGATCCAGTCTTCTCTTCAGGTTGCGAAAGTGCAGACTGCGAACACATTCCTTCGAACAGAGTAAGTCTTCGTTCTTTCTCTCTCTCTCTCTCTCTTTCTCTTTATTCTTCCTTTTTTTCTTTCTCTCATTCATTAACCGATTGTGTGAGTAGCCCGGAAAATTGAGATAATTTATTTCTAACTGTGGTCCAGGTACCGATGTTTAAATTAAATTAGATTTTTTTTAAAATAAAGAGTAACATCAATTTATTTTGAGAAAGGAATTTACAAATTAAACCGAATGTTTATACGGATTATTTGTTATGGTTAAAAACGCTTAAAAGAAATAAAAATTAGCAGATATAAATTGTTTAGCTTACTTTTAATATTGAATGAATTTGTACGAACTGAATGACAGACGTGCAGATGGACTGCATCTCCTGGTGGAAGGAGGGTGCCAACAGGTTCCTCTTCGTCAAGTTCACTCATAAAGTGCACAACTCTTCAAATATTTTCCAATCTTCCATTTTCAACTCGCAAACATTCAAGCCGCAAAACCATGAAGAGGGTCAACAACATTACTATCGATGTGCCGTAAGTTTACTTTTTTATTATCCTTCCCTCAATCCCATTGAAATGTCATGTTCGTTAAAAAATTTCATTTTACAAATTTGATTCATTGATTTATGAACTATTCCAACTTCTGAATCAGTTGGCATGAAACAAACACTGCAAGCAGGCATGATCTCGAAACGAACACAACACACATGATACCTCCCATAAAGCTGAGGGGCTGACCAACATTCAGACAAATAACAAGCTCTTCACACGCGAAATCTTCGCTGTCGTTTTCAAATTGAAAATATTTTTTGTCAGGTTCACAAATTGAAACGTTGAGAAAAGGCATTGCATATAAGATTGCCTTCTAAGCTACGCGCTCACATTCAGTTAGATGCCACATTATAAATATGCAAGCGTGTATGAAAAATTTGAAGAAACCATTTTTGTAATTTATCTTTTACATGAAATTTAATAACTTATTCTGTATTATTGTCTTTAAAAGATATCTGGGAAAAAACAAAACTAATTATTTCCTTCCCTAACACCTTGTGCCTTACATCTTTATGCCTTAACGTTTCTCGCTCGAAAATTTCCAACGATAAAAGTGTGAATTATCTCAAAGAAAAAAATCATTTTCAAATATTCATTATAAGATTTCAAGTTGTCATTGAATTTATTAAACTCAATCAGGAATTAATTCAACCAGGTATTTTTGGGACGACACCCACAAAAAATTCTAATGCCATCTCCCGCTGTGTTCAGCGAATTTTCGACTGCCAACAATTTTATCGCTAACTATTTCAATGTTACTAACGCAAACCTCATCAAAAAGCAAAAACTCACCTTAGTTTTTTCATTCAGACAACTGAGCCCTGCCTGCCTGCTATAAGAATAAATCGACAAAATACTTAATATTAATTATTTTAATGATTGTTGTTATTATCCTTTGATTTACAAAAATTTTTTTTCATTGACGATCACAACACTCAGATGTACCAGATCATAGGAGCTGTGGCCTACCTGTCGGTCTCCAGCAACTCGTCGTGCTCGAACCTGCGAAGTGCCAGGGAGGGTCCTCTGGTCTTCGAGCTGACCGAAGGTTTGCCGTTTGTTTATATTTTTATTATCACTCTTGTGAAATAATTATAAATTTAAATGGTTAGCATGTTCAAATCAATCTAAATATTTGTATTTATCAACACAAACGATCTAATTTATTTTCTATATTCAACAAATAATTTTTGCATTACTCATTAAATTCATAAATTTTTTCTTCACACCTCACACTTTAAGTATTTATCAAATCGAAAAAACTTGATTTGTTCTTGAAGCCATGAAAACTTAGAGCAATAAAAAAAAGTTTAAATAAAGAAAATTTTAAATGATTCAATATCGAATCACAAAAAGTTAAATATTCCTGATTGTTTGGAGCAAAATAAGCTGAACCTTAGAAGCTTGCGTCTAACAGTTAAGTTTACCGCTTTATGATAATATTTATTGGTAACTTATTTTCAAATAAAGTTCATTCAGTTGCATAAAAATAAAAGTTAAATTTTTGTTTCGTGTCAGAATATATTTTAAGTTCGGCACTTCTCTCGATTGATTGCATTGCGAAATGAAATGCAATCCAGTTGAAATAAGATAAGCTCCGAAGTAAAAGCAATGGAACAGAAACAAAAACTTTAGATAAAAAATTTGCAAAAGAAATTTATTTCAATGAAAAAATAGCTACCTAATTTATCTTGCTGGGAGAAAAATCATTGGAAACTTCACCACCAACACTTCAAGTCACATGATTATACTTTTTATTAAATTTTAATTGCTACACATCCATTCATTGATTGAAATAATTTAATAATATATTGATATAAAGTAGCATTCAAGAGATTATGAAGTTTTTTTTAATTTATAAAATCGCATTTGCCCCAGCAGTGTGCCAGCGAATGTTGATTTTGTTTTAATTCCGTTAATTCAGATTTTTGCACGATGTGACGTGTATTTGCATGAAAAAACATTTAATCGGATGTAAGCGATCACCCACATATGCACAAATTTGCACACGATCACACAGAGAAACACACAAACACTTTTGTGTACGCGAATCAATAACACCAACTACACATACACACACACAACCATAAACACGTACAACCACAACCTCGGACAGCCACATGCCACATATAAGTACGTACAGACACATAAGCACAGTAACTTGGCCTCATAAAAATTGAAGCTATATTTTTGCATCGCACTCGTTCTAATCTACAAGTCACAAAGACGCTTTCCTGTTTTATGCTTTCACAGGCACATTGAAAAATAAATCTCTGCATCTAAAACATCGCAAAATGTAATCAATAAATTTACTTCACGTGTTTCTTCAAACGACTAAATAATTTCGCGAATAAAAAGTTGAATTTATTTTCTCACACATTTATTCTAGAGTTTTCAAAGTAAAATTGTTGCGGTTTAAACTGTTTCTCCCAGTGGCGAATCTAGAGGAGGGGAGGCCGTGGTGAGCAGTGTTGTTATTAAGTCAGTAGAACTCAGTTTATAGACAAGAAGAGATTTTTTATGTTTAAAAAGTACCAAAAATTTACGTGATAATCAAACAAGAAAAATTTTAGTCAAAATAGCAAACGTTCGGTGATAAGTTAAAAAAGGATGTCACTTTTTAAACTAAGTTAACATCCCCCTACGACAAATTTCTGGCTCTGTCACTATCTCCAGTAACACTCTCATCAACAAATTGCAAGTAAATATTATCAAGAGAAGTAAATTTAAAATTAACTATATAAAAAAGCAGCACAAAACATGCTTTGATGAAGCTTTCAGCATTTAGCATTTCAATAATTTTTTAGTAACACGAACATTTTTTAAATATAATTCTTTGAGTCCATTTCAAATATTTTAAAAATTCATCAGCAATAAAATAATTGAATAGGTCTGGTGTTGACCTGCAGTGCGTTTAAATTGTTGTTGGCTGGTGCTGATGGAGCTTATTTGATGTTCACCATCTCTCACGTCACAAAAATCTGATCTTCCGTTTATTTATTTTTGTTTTCGATTTCTTCATTTATTTTTTTTTTCAATTTAATTTTTCATGCGAACAAACAAATTAAACAAACAACATTTCAAGCGCAGAACATCATTTTTTTACCAAATTGAAATAATTAAAACTGTTTTTAGATACAAAAATTTTTTGGATTGCGTCAAAACTACATTAAAATAGTCAATGCAACATCATTGTTTTAATTTGTTTGTAAATGCCAATTACCAAATTACCAATTTCTCACTTCAAATCAATTGACATTTTTATTTGAAATGTTTTAAATCAGAGCAACTATTGAATTCAACAACGGGGAATACTTATTTATTTATTCAACGCTGTCGTTCCTCCTATTAACTTGGTTATGCAACAAAAATTACTTGATGTTATTAAATGAAAATCAATGAAATTTTCAACCATATCGAAAACGAAATAATGGTTTTAATTATGTTTGGTTTTTGAAGAACTGAAACTTAAAATCCAAATAATTATATTGAAAAACGGAAAACAAACCAACTCGAACGTTGCTTATCATGACCGAAACCACTTGGCAAAAACCACATCTAGACAATTATCTAATTAACAATTATCCTACTACAAATACTTTCCACTAAAAAATACAGAGGTGTGATAAACATGACATTTCGTGTATGCAAGCTCGTTTCATTGTAAAATCTTTCTAACTAGGTTTTAGATTACCCCTATATGCCCAGCCCAGATGTACTTATAAAGTCTTCTCAGTTTTTAACGTCTTTGATTTATTATACCAGATGTTCCATAAACATTTCGTAAACAAACAAGTTAACAAATAATTTCTTTGTTGAATTTGAAGTTGCCTAGGTTTTGCTATTTGGAGAGTTTTTGGTGAGCCTTATAAAGTTTATAAAGGTGGCAGGGCATCTACCTGAAAAATAACATATTATAATGTAGTTGGCTTGCTTTATGGTGATGTTTTTGTTTATATATATATTTTTTGAATTGTTGAATTACTAAAAATGTTAATTATCATGAAACTATTTTATTTTATAAAAAATACACTGTTCCCTATGTAATGTGCATGAATAAAAGTGGATAGTTCAAAAAAGCTGATCTTTATATTTTACCTCCAGATGTTTTTTGACAAAGGAAAATAGTGCTGATGAGAATGCTGTTGGTGATTGATGTTTCAATAAAAAATGCGATTTACCTCCTTAAAAATTCACCGTCGCACGAAGCTTTTCCACTAGACTATCTTGGTTTCAAGAGAGATTTAGTTGAAGTTTATCCCAAAAGTTACGCTTTTCGGCTTCAAATGGGGTAGGTCAGTTGGTTATCTGCCATGTTTAGACAGACGGGTCCAACCAGAATTTTGATTTGGAGGCAAAAATCAACTTATTATGTACATATAAGACCAGAAAACCTACAAAGTTTGCTTAAAAACCTAATCTCGTTTGCTTGAAAATTGATGTGGTTTTACTTCCAGAAAAGTGTTTCATCAAATCTTATTGACATTTGAGATATATTAATAATTTAATGTTTCAAAATTATTTTGTAAATAAACCATTGTCTTATTTTCAATTAAAATTTGAAAAACTTTGACGTTATGTGTTTGATATGCAGCAAGGTTGTAGCATAAACTAAAAGTTGTGCCCGATCCTTGCCTCCTTTATGAAGGTGGATCATTCAAATTGCTGTACAGAACGAAAACGACTCAACTTTTTTGAAAAACTTTTCAGATTCGTGTTTTGCAACTAAAATACACTTTATGTACGAATTTGAAAAAAATATATGAAGTGGGAGATATATGGACTAAGAAGGTTGAAGAGCTCGGAGGATATTGTGAACCAATAAAAAGCTGCAAAAACATGCCTCTTTTAGTGGTTGAATATAACTTTTATATGTGCTTTGCAGTAATGCAGATTTGAATTGCCAATTCATTCACATTTAACTAATTATTTAATATAATTTTTTTATTTTCACGATAATAACTTTCACTTTTTCATATTCCATTAACTATCTTTACAATGAACACTTGTTGTAATTTACTCATTGCAAATTGAAATCAATCATTTTTTAGAGATTTTTTTATTAAAAATATTTAATTTCAAGAAAATATTTTTATTCCAGCTGAAATGTGAAAATTTATTCTCATCTAACATTTAAGTTCAATTATTTTTGTGTTCATTTTTAGGCAGCTCTGAAAATTCAGAATTTCTGACCTGTACATGTTTTTCTATACTTGCAATTAAACTTTTGTGCCACAAAGAAAGTACTACCTACACCACACGACGCTTCACAGCGTATGATAAGTCTTTAAGGTTAGGAAGCCAGTATTCGAACCATGTCACCGCGTAACAACAGCTTGATACGCGGCACTCTTACTGATGAGCTAACTTGCCAGCCAAATCACATTCATAATAGGATAGAAGTATTTGAATTTTTGAAACAATTGCATACGCTTATTATTTTTTATAAGTTAGTGTTTTTTAAGTTGTATCTTCAAAACTGTTTGCCTTCAACTACAAACGCCAGCATCTTATCAATTTTATTTTCATAGCTACCAACGAGTCAAGATGTAAAATATTTTCTAATTTAAAAATTTCTGCAGCAGCAGGAAACGTCAAAGAAATATTTTAATTGCTTCATTCCGAGCCTTCATTCATGATGTCACTACTTGCTGACCATGTTCGATGCAGTTGCTATGCACGTGACGTCAAATGTTATGCGAATTGTTCTAATGAGCCAATTTAAATTGAATGAAGAAGCAAATCCCAAATTTTATTTCAATTTAATGCAATATTTTAATGCTAAAACAAAAAGATTATATGTGAATCCAAAACGTCATCAAAGTTTATTTCAATTAAAATAAATTCAAGTAAGTTTGTGAATGTTTTACAGACATGTACAACTGGCCCAATCCAAACAACACGTGTTCATTTCCAAGATGGCTGACCGGAAGCACCTGGTTGTACGAAGAAAATCCACACGTGACCTACGTAACGGATGACTTCAACGACACGATCTCCGTCTACGAAGAGTCTTCCAGCAGGTCGGCTGCAGCGACCATCAAGTGCCTACACATCGACCATTTCAGCACCTTCCACAACTTCAACAATGCCAACAATCTTGACAATAACATCATCTCAGATAAAAACATCAACTTAACAAGCAATATATTTTTTTCGAACTCTTCCGAAAACATCTCTAATCAAAATTCAAAATTATCAATTAACAATTACGAAAATTGGAACGTCAAACAATCTATATCTCATCTGGCCACCACAAACACGAGTAGCACCAACGTTCGTTCCGACCACACCGCAAACAAAACCGCTGATCCAGCGTGGCTCATCCTGCTTGCTCACGTCATCAATGAATGGTAGTTTGATAGGTTTTCAACCATTTTTAAATTCTCTCTGATTAAATTGTAAATTTGTACACAACCGCTTCCAATGAAGGGATCAATATAACCAGTTCCCATCATCGATTAGTGCTAAGTAATTGACTTTTAGAACAATCGTTTACAAGCAAATATAAGACATGAAGCAGTTATTAAAGATTAATGAGCTCTCGTTATGTAGATGGGGTGACACAAAACAAAAAATAATTACTGTTTGACAAATTCATTGTTAAAACTTTCAGCACAAAAGTTTAGTTATTTTTATATTTCTATAATTTTTTTATAAGAGGTTGTGTCTATTTAGATTTGAATGGCTTTACCAGCTGTTGGATTGTAGCAGCGACAATTGCTACGATAGGTACTGCACGCTGGAGGGTATGAATACGTGGGCAGAGTGTTCGTCCTTCAACTCTTTACCTACCAACTCTAATCTTAATTTTTACATTATCATTATCAATCATTTGGATTAAATATTATTATAGTTTTATTTGACAAAATAGGAACTGGTGAAAAACTGAAGAAATGTTCAACTTGAGAACATTATTTTGTTGATAAGCCCTAGCATAATTTTGAATATTTAAAAATAATTATATTTAAAACAAAATAAAATGTTAATTGTTCTAAAATAATTTGTCAGTCATCCATCATACATGTGCGTGAAGCTGGTCAAGATTCATAAGCACATCGCTCTCCTTCAATTTGGTTAGTTATTTCTTCTTGCTTATTTTTTTCTCGTTTTTAATGTAGAAGAAATGAAATTTTTAAAAGTATGCATTCACAAGTCTAGCAAATTTTCAAAAACTCTGCGCACATACGTCGGATATTTATTTGCAAAAGTCTCGTTTGGTGGTTTCGTTATAAGGTTCGTGCATCTGGCTGGTGCATGCATGGATACTCTTATTCTGTTTCTTCCTTACACAGGCGGTTCTCTTTTTTTATGATGTTGTGGTGCCTCAATGGGTCATTTATGTCTGGTGTGAAGTTACGTAGTGTTATTCTAAACAGTCAATGTTCGTAACTCAGTGCTGTACAAGAAAATATTGTAAATTGTTGGTTAAATATTAAATATAATAATGAATATTATTATTGCTGCTGCTGTTTATGTTGTTGATGATGATGTTGTTGTTGCGATTCTTCCAGAACGCGATCCAATTATTTAACTGTTGCGGTTGCTGTTGCTGATGTTGTTGTTGTTATACACTGAATATGAAAATTTATCTGGAATATGAGATAACGCGATTCTTCCAGAACGTGATTTTACAGTTGTATTTCGTTGTTGCTTTTCTAGAGCTAGATCTGACCATTGCACTTAGTAACAGTAGTAGTTGCAGAAATTAACCTTTCCAGTTGTTTATTCTGCTGTTGTTATTTATTTGACTCCAGTACAGCTTTTAAAATATAAACTTGCCAGGTACATGAAATAACGCGATCAAAAAAGCCGTTCTTCCAGATCGAGATCCAGCCATTGAACTTTGGTTGGATTGACGTCTGCGAAACTGCTGTTGTTGCTTTTGTTACAGTTGTTATTACTCATCTGACTTTGACACTAATTTTAATAAGAAAACTTAACTGGCACAAAATATACCGCAATCAAAAAGACGATTCTTCCAGAACGGAATCCAACCATTGCACTTTGGATATACTGACTTCTGTGATTACTGCTTTTGCTCTTGCGGTTTTGTTGGTTGCTGTCGTTGTTGTTGTTTGTGTTGTTGTTTGTGTTGTCGTTGTTGTTGTTATTATTGACCCGACTTTACCGCTTTTAATAAAAAAAAACTTAGCTGGCGAAGGATATACCGCAATTTAATTGGCGGTTCGTCCAGAACGAGATCCAACCTCTGTACTTTGCTTGGATTGGCTTCTGCAATTACCGCTTTTACTGTTGCTTTTTTTGTTTTTGTTGTTATTGCTGTTGTTGTTATTTATCAGACTTTGACATTGGTTTTATGAAAACTTAACTTGAACAGGAAATAACGCAATCAAAAAGGTTTATCCAGAACGACATTCAACCGTTGAAGTTTGATTGGATAGACTTTTGCAATTACTGCTGCTACTTTTGCTGTTTTTGTTGTTACTTTTGTAGTTGTTTTTTATCTGACTTTGGCAATACTTTAATAAACTTACCTAGCACAAGACATACCCGATCAAAAAGGCTTTTCTTTCAGAACGAAACTAAACCATTGCACTATGGTTGGATTGACTTCTGCAATTACTGGTTGTTTTTTCTTTTTTCGGTGATTGTTTTGTTGTCGTTGTTCTTTTTTTCTCTTCTTCCAGAACGGGATCCATCTAATGTACTTTGGAATGAATTTTGCGATTACTGCAGTTACCGTTGTTTTTGTTGTTAGTTATGTTGTTTTTTTTTGTTTTTATTCATCGGACTCCAACACTGCTCCTAATATAAAAACTTGCCTGGTACAGAAGATAACGCAATCAAAAAGTCGATCCAACTTTAGCACTTTTGTTAGATTTACTTGTGCGAATAATGCTGTTTCTGTTGCGGTTGTTGTTACTATTGCTGTTGTTTTTTTATGTTGTGGTTCTTCCGGAACAAGATCCAACCATTGCTATTTGGTTGGATTGACTTTTGCGATTACTCTTTTGGTTGCGGTTGCTGTTGTTTTTGTTGATGTTGTTGTTAGTTATCCGACTCCATCACAGCTTTTAAAATAAAAACCTACCTGTTACAGGAGTAGACTTCTGTGATTACTGCCGTTGCTTTTCTGTTGTTGTTGTTATTGTTGTTGTTGTTATACATCAAACTCCAACATTGTTTTTAATATAAGGATATACCGAGATCAAAAAGGCGGTTTTTCCATAACGAGATCCAAACTCTGCACTTTGCTTGGATTGGCTTCTGCGATTACTGCTTTCACTGTTGTTGTTTTTGTTTCTATTGTTGTTATTTATCAGATTTTGACATTGATTTTATTATGAAAACTTAACTGGAACAGGAAATAACCCGATAAAAAAGGCGGTTCTTCCAGAACGACATCCAACCATAGAACTTTGATTGGATTGACTTTTGCAATTACTGCTTTTACTTTTGCGGTTGTTATTAGTTTTGTTGCTGTTGTTATTATTCATCTTACTCCGGTAATACTTATAACTAGGGATGCACCGAAGTTCGGCCCCGGCTCCGGCCCCGGCCAAAATCCGGCTTTTTTTTCAAATCCGGTCGAATCCGGCCCCGGCCGGATTTGGTGGCCGGATTTAGGGCCGGATTTAAGCGTCTATCAACTTTTAAAAATGTTAGAAATAGAAAAAAAAAATTTTATTGAATTCAATTAATTTTGTCAATAAGTTAATGGCTAAGGCTAAGCTAAAGGCATACATGACACATAATAACAACATCACTAATTGTGAGGTGATCTGGACAATTTTCTTTATGCTATAACATGGGTTATGCATAAATTATAAGCTGATCTTTGTGTAAAAGAACTTGTGCACGTGTATATACTATATATTGATAATTGCACATGACGGATCATATAGCTACATAATATATATATATATATATATATATATATATATATATTTAGAGAGAGAGAGAGATACATAAGCACATAATTTAAGAACATGGTATGTTAAAGGTTAGGCTAGGTATACATGACACATAATTACAACATCACTAATTGTGCGGTGAGCTGGACAACTTTCTTTGTGCTTTAACATGGGTTATGCAAATATGCATAAATTATAAGCTGATCTTTGTGTACAGAATTTGGCGTATCACACAACTTATTCACATATTTGAATTAAATAACTATTTGCTTGGTGTTATTTTTTGATGTTCAACATGTAGATAACCGTAAATGTGAGTATTTATTTTAACGTATGTAAAATGGTAACTGAAATCCGGCCCCGGCCGGTTTTTGAATTTCAAATCCAGCCAAGCCGATTCGAAAAACCTGAATCCGGTGCATCCCTACTTATAACAAAATTACCTGGCACAGGATATACTCCGATCAAAAAGACTTTTCTTCCAGAACGAGACCCACAATGGTTGGTTAACTTCTGCAATTACTGCTGTTGTTTTTTTTTGGTGGTTGTTCTTTGTTGTTCTTTTTTCAGAACAAAATTCAACCAATGCACTTTGGTTGGATTGACTTCTGCGTTTACTGCAGTTACTGTTGTTTTTGTTGTTATTCATCCGATTCCAAACACTGTTCTTATTATAAAAACTTACCAGGTACAGGAGATAACGCGATCAAAAAGCGATTCTTCTAGAACGAGATCCAACCTTGTTGGATTGATATCTGCAAATACTGCTTTTTTGTTGTGGTTGTTGTTACTACCGCTGTTGTTGTTGTTGTTGTTGCGATTCTTCTAGAATGAGATCTAACATTGTTAATTTGTTTGGATTGACTTCTGTGATTACCATTGTTGTTGCGATTGCTGTTGCCGTTGATGTTATTTTTGTTGATGTTGTTGTTAGTCGTCTGACTCCGACACGGCTTTTAATTTAAAAATTTACTTGGTACTGGTAGATATATCTATACATGTTTATATATTTCACATATATATACATGTCTGTATACATATACATATATATGTTGGAAAATATATATATATATATATATATATACATACTACATCTTAATCGGGAGTATATATATATATATATATATATATATATATATATATATATATATATATATATATATATATATATATATATATATATGTATGTTGGTAATAGACCATAATTTTTACAATATTCTATAAATTCTACCGAATGTTTGGCGTTAATATGTTTGTAGTTCGTTTTTTCGATTTTTTTCACTAAAGTTTTTTGGTGAACGTTTAGTTTATTAAAATTCAAAATAAACTTATTTTTAGAATTCATGCGCAAA